TGCAGGATTCTTCTTCATCTTACTATAACCTCCTCAAAGGAAGTTTATGGCTCCCCATCAAAGGCTGAGGCAATCCCCCAGGGATTTCCTTCTCATTTTCCAAGGCAGTCACCACTCTCTTACCTGACAAAGGAAGAGGTGAAGAGCACGAGACGTGGCCTCAGGCAGCTCTGCTAAACTGGCTTCTGCTGCCTCTTGGAGAATCTGGCTAATTTCTTTTTGAGAAATAATATTGCTGCTCTGATATCTCAGAAACTTGAACAAGGAAAAAATAGAGGCATTAAATAGTGAAAGACCCACAGACTTCAACAGTCACTCATCTCCTGGAAAGACCTCATCTATGTAATAGGATGCTGCAGCACCTTAACCACAGGCCTGATTTTTATATCACTTCTATCAGAAACAGTGCAAATATCCACATTGGTGGTGCTCTGTTTTATAACCAGTCTTATTTTGGTTTAGGTTGGGAAAGAACTGAAACAAACCAGGTAACCTTTCAAAAGTGAAATACAAATAGCAAAGATTCACAGGCCCATCATGGATTTGGAGGATCACGTTAATAACCCCTTCCTCTCATGCACTGCCATGAGGGCTTTATCTTCAGTATTTCTGCTGGTTAGGACCACGTTCCCTCTCTTGCTCGCAGGCCCCAGGTACAGCAGGGCAGTAGGCTGCAGTAACTCCCTGCCCTGACAAGTCAGGTCTGTAAGGTCAAAGATGGGGAGACGAGCTGTGATGCCAAGCAGAGCTCTGCTCCCCAGAGAGCCACAGCATGCTCCCTGACTGCCAACAGCAGTCGTGTGTGCTCTGTAGGTTTCCCTCTTGTCCCCAGGGGTCCTAGATGATATAAATAAATGCTACAAACACCCAAAGAACAGGACGTGCTCACTAACAGCAGTCAGTTTCTGCAGGGTGTGGAAGGGAAGTTCACTTGAAAGTATAATTATTAAAGGGCACAAACATAGTGACAGACAAAGCCACAGCAGGATCCGAGCTTGTGTGGGCATAGGGGCTAAGTTCCAATAACTGACCTACATGCACTGTACCAACATACTGGAAAAAAGGGAAACATCCTGCCCTTCCCCTGCTCACCAAAGTCATCAGCCTGAGAACTTCTGGCTGCAGAAAGGACTTCTGGCCCCCATTGAGTAGTGTGAAAAGCAGGAATCGGTGCCAGGGCTGTGAAGCAACATGTAGAGCTGGGAGAGAAGGAGAACCCAATCAAAGACAGCTGTAAAATCGGCCAAGTGACAGGCTGGACCCGGATAAGGACAGTCTTCAATACTGACCCCAAGTTTTCTCTTCTAGACCCCATGCTGTGAAACACTAAGGGGATATTTTGCTCTGTTCTTACTTGCTTTTTAATCTGTCACTCCTCGGGCAAGAGTTTAGTCATGAGGACAAAAGCTTAATAGCTTTTTAAAGCAGAAAACGCATTTTGTCGATCTTTGTGCTGGTACAGGAAGAGAAACCTCCTCCTGGGGTGCAATGTCGTAAAATAGTAAGGGGATATCTTTAGCCCAGGCTTTTAAAAATAATACCCTCTGGTTTCAATATGAGGATAAGTTTCCTGACCACGGGTTTTATTTAGCTGCAGAATAGCCTTTGGGGAATGATGAAAGACCTATAACATCAGCTGCACAAACCAAGCCTGGATCTGCATCAGAGAGCGTACTACAGGGACCAGCCAGGCTAATGGCAGCAATGCAACCAATCAGTAGAGAAAACATTCTTAATAAGGAGCATATATGATAAGCAGAGGTAAGGCTCAAGGTCACCATCTGTGACAGCATGGAATATTACCTTGTATCTATTGCAGGTATTTCTTGCATGGGATGGACAATTGCAACATGTCAGCTGATAAAACCTGTTACACCATGGCAACTCACCAGTTTCAGAAAGGTCCCTGTTCTGCTGGCAGTCACATAACCTCCCTACTGCCACTACAAGAATCTTTTCTATGGGAAAACAACACTAAAAATGTTTGGTGGGTATCTTCTAGCTGGTGGAAATTAGAAGGTACCAGCATTGTGCACTGAGCCTGCTCTGCACATCTGGAAAATTCTCTGGACCAGGAGGCAGCATTCTTGCATCTTTCAGTCAAACACAGCTACGACCCTCATTCTGCTTGGAATAAGGAGACTCCTGTTATCGCTGTTGTGAACTTCTGCACCACAGCAAGAATTCAGGCAGCCAAAGTGACAGGTTCAGCTGTTGCTGAAGCAGCATTTCATTAGCTTAATCCCAAATCAGATGCCACCTTTTTATTTTTTTAACCCAGCCTTTTAATGGCCTCCCTTCAGCTACGGGCTGTCATTCACCTGCAGTTTTCATTCAACCACCTCCTCTCTCCCACCAATGTCCCTTCTGTCTGCTGTTCATTCACTCCATCCTCTTCTCTCTCAGTGTTTAAATGACTGAATTGAACAGGTCAGGGCACAGAGAACTCACTGTCTATTTTAAGATCAGAGACAGCACCTAGACTTTGTGGCAGGAGGCTGACAATAAGGAGAGAGGTCTATTCATCCCCCCAACTGTAAAACGCTGTCATATTATGTCATATTGCTAACATGGTATGCGCTGGGTCTGACGTGGACTCTGGAAACCAAGGTCTGCATTCACCCCTGGAAATCTAGAATTCCCAGCATCCATTCCCTAAGGATGCCTAGTGCCCTGTTCTCCCTTGCTCTCCCTCAGGGCCAAACTGTGACCAACACTGTCTGTGTAGAAGACACATTCAGATCCTCCCTCTGCTATATTTATGGTCCAAAGGTTTCCTACAATTGCCCTGGAAGTGAAAGACTATTTCTATAGTCCCTCCATTCCTGAACCTTTCATTCTTACCACACTGGGGGTGGGGAATGACTTTTTTTTCCTTCTGGAAAGCATCTTGGTGTCCAGAGCCAAAGTGAGGGCTCATGCCTGCAGGGGAGCCAGGCACTGTGATTTCATCCCACAAAGCACATGATTAACTTCAGGCATACGAATAATTTTTTCTTATTGGGCATAAACTCATCAAGCATCTCCTCCAGGGTGCTACTGGATGGAGATCAAAGAGCTCAAAATCACTGCAGGAGGG